TTTTTTCCCTTTACTTAATCAGCTGTCCTTTAAACACCCTTCCCTGGATCCAATATCACTTAAAAACGATTTCTGCCCTTTTCCATCCCTTTACTTGGACTATGACAATCCAGATATTTATAAAATTTTATTTATTTTTACCGTTCATCTTACAAAACAACGTAAGATATATATAATGCAAATATATAATGCAAATATATAATACAAAACGCAGAAATTCTTAATACATTCCATGCATTATTAACATGTCTCGTGCAAAAGATATGTCACGCACAACACGTGCACTCTTGCATTCGCATGACATGACACAATAGAGACAAAAGGAAACAGGAAGAGATAAAAGATTCTTGATAAGGAAATGTTTCCTTTTAGTGTTAAAATTATAATAAAGTCAGACTAAGCTCTTGTCTGACAAGAACTCGATAATAACGTGAACGTGTTTTTTTTTTTTTAATTTGTCTACTTTAACTTACAATCTCTCTGATTTTGCTTTACGATATCTCTGTAGGATACGAAGAAAAAAAATAAAAAAAGGCTTTTATTATGTAATTTAAGGGCCCACACAATGAAGTAAATATTAGGAATGGGAAACATTAAATTTTGGAAATGTAAATTTGAAATAAAAATTAAATGTAACACACAATATATGAATATAAATAAGTATAAAATACTGTAATATCTTACACTTACTTGTACTCGTTGTGCGTTACATTTAATTCTTATTTTGAATTTCTATTTCTAAAATTTAATATTTGTTCTTATTCTTAATACCTCCTCCATTGCAGGGCTTAAATAACTGTCGATTAAGCTTAGTTAGAACTCAGCTGAGAATGTTTGCTGAAGATATAAAAAGTAAGTCGGGTTTATTTCGGAGTTTCGTGCAAATAAAAATATAACCAGAGATATCTTGCAGTCGTTTTGGCATGAATTTCAGTAGTTTCGCGTGAACTTGGCGATACTATGCTACAACGAGTTTCTCGATGGTTCGACATGACGATTATAATTTTTCCGAAAGAAAATAGATAAAATCCAGATAATTCAGCGTGATATAGCATATCGAGCAAACTAATGCAATGCGTTAATATTACGTTATTACATATTTGCTGATGTCACGTTACGAATGCAGCAACATGACTACACATGTAATCAGTTGAAATTTTAAGAGTAAACGGTCGGCAATAAGTAAATGGTAGGTACATTGTCGACAACATTGTCAACCAGCAATGAATGATTAATTGTTCCATCTTGAGCATCAGGCTGAAAATATAACGCAATAAAACATACATAATGATTTCCATTTGTTGTTGCGTATATATGTTTAAGCAATAAAGTTTTTTTAATTCGTTGGTGAAATGTCACATATTTACGACAATTTTTCAATAAAAGAATGTATAATTATTAACTTTTCGAGTTGTATGCAACATCGTCGCCAAATGGATGCGACGAAGTTGTATTTCTTGTAAATACAAGCCCTATTAAGTTCATTTCTGAAATGATTATTTGAAAGCGATTTCTCCAAAATAAAACTCCAGTTGGAGCTCTTTCAAATGGGAGGCTTTAAGATAAAAATAAATTAATTATATTAAAAATAACTAAAAGAATATCTTTAAACAAATTTCAAAAGCGATTAAAAAATGTCTACAATAAATTATCTTTTCATGGGCTATATTCTTTCATTAAAAATATCTTTATAGAAATTTACACATTTTTTAATTGTCTTAAGACGACTTGATGCTGTCTGAGATATGTAACATTCATTATTTATTACATTGCCATTATGTTAACATGCTATTGAGTACGAATAACATTGAATACAATGATGACTTGCGTCAATTTGCTGTCAATATGCTGTTAATCGCGGATAACAAATTGATAATACGAATTCTCGTCAAATTATCGTTAAGTTGATTAGCAAATGTTGACATGTTGATGTTGACATGTTACTATCAATTTGTCATTATTAAAGTTAGAATTCCAGTTTGGTCAATGCGACAGACATAATGTTGTTTCACCTTGTCCCAAGTTTGTCTAAATTAGTTGCTACAATGATGATTGTTGATAACGTGACAACAAACTCATAGTATTTTACTATTTGAGAATTTTTAAAAACTACCAGTCTACGCCGTAATTAATTATTTATAATTATACATTTATATATATATATATATTTATTTATAATTATATATTTATAATTATATATTTTATATATATAATTATTTATAATTATATTTTAATTACTTATATTTTTCAGATTTAATTATTTAATTATATTACATCTTAATTTAATAAATTTTTATATATTACCTAGAATATAACAAGGACACTTAAGTCTATTTTTTTCATTTTTTATTAATTATTTTTCTTCCTTTCTTCTATTTTTCTTTCTTTTTGTCATGTGCATGTTTTTCAAAAAAGGGAAATCGAAACAACAATATATATCGACATATATATCGATCTACTAATCTTTATGTACTAATCTCTTTTTTAAAACAAGATAATCCTGCAATAAATAAGAAACTTTTAAAATAATTATATGTTTAAAGTATCTTTATCCAAGATAAGAATCTGAAGTATTTCTAATAATACACATGTCGTTTATTCATAATATCTCACGATACGATTTAACATTGAAGAAAAACAATAAAATATATATTTAACAATAATAACACTAATTTAGAGAAATGTTAAAGCTAAGACTAACCAATATTAATTTCAAAAATAAAAAATAATAAATATATAACAGATATTAGTTTATTAGTTCCTTTTTTTTATATCATTGAGCTTCAACAAAATATATCGACTCTTCTTCTGCCCCGACTTCTGTTTCTTGATATCAGAGAAACTGCTGAGCAGAATCTGCTATTTTACCCGTTTTAATCCAGAAGGTGATCGTAGGGCGCTTCCTAGCAAGCCAGGAGCTTCTGGCAGATCGCTCCCATCTTCAAAGCACACGAGATAATTCTCGAGTTAAGGCATTTCTTAACTCGGCCCCCTTAGGAAGGCCTCGTGCAACTTCCATCGCTGTCGGTGACAGAGCAGAGAGCTTCCAAACCGCAGCAAATTCTAAGTCCAGCCTGAAAATCCGCCCGAAAAAGACTGAGACGATACGTTTGACAGGCGAACAGCTGTTCGGCCACGCGACAAACACCGCGCATTCCGAGACCCCGCGCATCGTCTTACAACGCGCCGAATTCGTAGAAGAGCCACGAATCGAGATTATTGTAAGATTCCTGGTCCTCCGCGAACTTTTTCAAAGAACGGCGAACACGATTCCGAGATTTAAAATCTAATTCAAGTTCTGTATATATTGTAAATATCGAGCAAAATAAAGTTTGTAACAATTAGTCAGTAGTTGTAAATAGTTTCCAATCTTTTAAATATATACGTGTACATATTAAAATCCAATTTTATTAATAAATTTTATTATACTTTTGCCAGGATTTTTGCTAATATTATTGTACGAATAAATTTACACGAATAAGCAATTTGTCATATGCACTGCTCTGTATGTTGCTATAACATTTTGCACATATGCTGTGTTAAATATATCTGTGATTTTTTTATTAACAAAATTTGTAGAAGGAATTTGATAAAATCTCATTTCGATAAACTTGACTATTCGGGATTTCATAAACTAGTTTTTATCTATTTACTAAAAATTTTGAAAGACAATTTTGTGTTTCTTTCAAAGATAGTTGTCATTTAAAGGATTACGCAAAAGCGCAAAAAAGCTCTACCTTGAGATTTTTTTCTTAAATAATTATAAGAATTGTCCATGCGCATGCGTTATTATTTGAAATAGATGATTAAAAATTACATAACATAAGATGCATTCCGTTTCTCGCATCGATATACATGATTTATTCTTATTATTTACTGTATATTAAACAAGAAAATCTTTATAAATGTATTTCTTGCATTTTATATGCATTTATATCATGCAAGAAACACATTCATAAAGATATCTTTCTGAGAAATTAATAATAATTGCACTCCGTTAAACGCAATTAGAATATATATTTGATAAAAAAAATTGTTCAATTTTTTATTTTTTTGTGAAAATATATAACAAATAGAGAAACGAGCAATAAAAAGATGTAGCAAACGAGAAAGAAAAATATATTTAAAATAATTTAGATAAAATAGAACAATAATCTGTTTGAGATAATAAACTTACGTTTTAATTTAGTGTAACTCTTCTTCAGTGTTTAACATAATAAAATATATAGACGCATAATTTTTCAGTGTTTAACAATAAAATATATAGACGCATAATTATGAAATTAATATAGTAGAATTAATTATTAAAAAATAATGATTAGCCGCGGACAAAATAAACAAGAATCGGAGAGCATGCAAAGAAAAAAATAATTTGTTTACTAAAAGTAAAAAACAAGTCTGTAAGAGGTTATTAATACTAGTAATAATTAAATAAAGATGTCATATGTGAATATAAATTAAATAAAGAATTAAAAATATAAATTAAGTTAAAAATAAAGTTATACCAAAGTCGGGTATGTGAATAAAAATGGGTAATATAACTAATTTCATTTCTTACATTTTAACATATGTCTTTAACAATTCCACCTATACATACTTTGTTGTTATATAACTGTTTATCTACTGCTTTGAACAACATATAAGGGACTATGTTATCAAGACCGACAAATCCGTGGCGTGCAGTTCACATGGCTAGAGATTATAATTTCCATTTAGATGATTGTTTGATTTATTGTTACAAACGACGAACATCCAGTATTGGCTCGCATAAACATTTTTCAATACACTTCTGACAATTTTGAATATTTACATAAAATATAAATATAAAAAATATAAAATATAAAATATTTCATTATTTACGAAATTTTTCTACATTAAATAAGCTATAGATAAATTTACATATTTCTCATCTAAATTATTATCATTTTGTACATTTTGTGTTGATTTTTTAGATTTACAAGATTATGTTATTTTTACATCTATTTTTGGTATACATTTACCGAATTTTTTTACAGAGAAAAAAAGCATTATCATTTCTACATAACCTTGTGATAGATAGCTTGGCGCATTTTTTTTTTAAATAGTTTCCCCAGTAGTATAATTCACTTTTGTTACATTTCTAATGAAATAACTGCTCAAACTATCTTTCTTGCATTTCCAAGCAAAGTTCGATTCTTCGAGAAATTTGTCGTGTTGCAAGATGCATCATATCCGGAGTGATAATGTGAAAAGTCGCTAATAATTTCATTACGTACCTCATTTTGAGTACCATCATGTCTGCTCGACTTTAATATAACCCCAGACAAAATAATCGAGCACATTCAAATCTGGTGATCGTGCCGGCCAAACGATCGAACAATCCCGACCAATCCATCTATTTGGAAAATGCGTATCCAGAATTTCCCGCACTCTGCGAGAATAATGTGCGGGAGCTCCATCGTACTGAAAAATCAACGTTTCCCACTCTTGGAGAGGAATGTCCTCCAAAAGAATCGGCAATTGATTTTCAAGAAACTCTGCGTACGCTTGTCCATTAAAGTGTGCCGGAAGAAAATATGGCCCGATCTGAAAATCGCCCATAGAAACGTTAATACCATCACGTGTGTGCGTGTGTGTGTGTGTGTGTGTGTGTGTGTGTAGTGGTGTGTGTGTGTGTGTGTGTGTGTGTGTGTGTGTGTGTGTGTGTGTGTGTGTGTGTGTGTGTGTGTGTGTGTGTGTGTGTGTGTGTGTGTGTGTGTGTGTGTGTGTAATTTATATAAAGAAAATGCTCAATATGTGGAACTTACAAATTTATGAATTCTTATGAATTTAGCACAGATAGACATCAAATATCAATTTTATGATTTTTTTATTATATCAAAAAGTGGATGTAAGAGTTACTGCCGATTTGCCGTTTTTCTCTGATTTAGAATGTTATAGCGTTTTCCACTTATTGACTCAACTTGACTCTAATTCTTTCTCTTTTTATCTCATGCTTTTTCTCTATTACTTTTCTCTCAGGCTGCGTTCCAATATTCACTGCCAGTACTGAAAATATATAGCTTGGATCATGTATATTATAAATTTTCAGTACTGGCAGTGAATATCGGAACGCAGCCTCAGTCTTTTTTTGCGTAATGCGTGACTCAACTTTCGGAGTCAGCAGATTAAAAGCATTATTTTATTATCTTTTTTATTATTAGTCATTGTATATATGTCGAGTATATATGTTGCATGTTTCAAATGGTTGCTTTTTTGTTTTTTATTTTTCTTAGATCAAAAAATAAATAGCATGAAAAGATTACTCGCACTAAATGAGGAATTAATAAAAAAATTCATTCCTCAAATAGGATGCAAGTAAGTTTTTTTTCTAACTGGAAGCATCTAATAGCAGAAAAGTGTGTTACTTAAGGAGAGGTATCTTTTAACAAGCATATACTTTAACTTTGTATCTCAATTCTTTTCTTAAAAAAATTTAAAAACATATTTTAAATATTTCTAAAATAAATATCTATATTGAATTGTAAATAATGCTCTTGAGTTTTACAGAATTCTAAGAAAACTAATGCACAATTAATCACAAAAGACGTATCAATACTTGACATGTTAAAAATACCTGATCAAACAATAGAATTTATATAGATATCACCTGAAAAGCCTATTTGAATAATCCTTAAATATTTGAAAGTGAATTGCTTGCTTGAAGCATGACAATAAGTCATGGCCTGAACTATTTTGCAATTGGTCAGACACATCCTTTGAGATTTCAATACCTCAGAAAAACAAGATTTGTGGCATCACAATCATAAAGAGAATCTTCTTTTCAAATATCTAGGCTATTGATATTTTAGTGCGTAATTATTTAAAATATTGGAATATGCTTCAATTACCTAATGCATATCTGCTGGAGAATATAGAATTTGCATACTTTGAATGTTCTTCTTTCTCTTTTTTTTGTGCTATTTAAAGAAAACGTACATTTGATATAATTAATTTGCAGATTCAGCAATATTTTAAAGAATTATATCCTGGAAGAAAAGATGGTTTGAAATATTAAAATGGGATACAACCAAGAAAATTTTGATTGATCTTCTTAAAGCTGAAATTTCTAAATCAGATCAGTATGGCAGAAAATTACTTACAGACTTTATTGCTACAGATATAGGTATTAATGAAGAGACCATATTTGCTGTCTAATTTTTTTTTAGCATAAATTTTTGTAACTTTATCTTAGTTAGTTAATGTATATCTTTTCAGATCAAAAGTTTTTCTTCGAGCTCGAGCCATGCTTGATGCAATCTCTCCTGTCGCGCACCAGGAGGATTATTTATATTTGCTAGTGGCGTTGGAGGATGTCACTGCTGCAGTCCGATCTGCATCCATCGAGAGATTAGGATCATCATCTCTCTGGAGTATTGGTCGTGGGGAGAGAATATACATGTATATATGTATATGTAGTATATGTATATATGTGTGTATCATTGAATTGTTGACGTGTTATTCTAAACACGTTATTACGATAAATATCATCACATACCTCTGTGGTCGAAAGAATAAGATGCTTATCCGGTAAGCAGGAGATCTAGGTTCGATTCCTGGCTGAGGTGATATCCTTCGCAAAAATAATTGCGGATTTTTACGATTGGTTCGTGGTCAGGCCTCGTCGTGGCACACGCCTCTCCCTTCTTATTCTCTTTCTATAAAGCTAAGATCATCAAGTATAATTATAAAGATAATTATAAATGATTCTTGTAAGAAATTATAATCAAGAAAATTTGCCTTTATTTTTTGATTATCGCAATGGCTTGTATAACCGTTAAATAATGATAGAATAGGTTTTATTCTCTTAGGTTTTTATATTATAGGTTTTAATAACCACCTTCATTGTTATGAAGTAGTATCAAATATGGAATGGTAAAATATGGAATTTTATGAAGAATATCAAAACCTGGTTTCATGTTCTTCAATTTATCATAAAATAACTGTAGATGGAAATTTTTATGTATATTATAGACATATTTTATAAATAAAAGACATATTTTATGAATTTATTACTAAGGAAAAAATTTAATATTTTGTAATGCCTAAGAAAAAATTATTGATATTGTTGCGGCCGTGCGGTGTTCCGTTCGGCGCTGCTGAAATTAATCAATATCAATCGATAAGAGTTTGAATAGAGGATCGGCCCTTGGCAACGCGTCGTTCTCCGACTGTTATACAGATTTCACGGCCAGATTCCGCGGTGGCCGGACGCGTTTCTGTACCGTTGTACCGTTGGTTTAATAAAGAGCGAGCTTTTCTTTAAACGGTGTTCTTCCTTTCCGAAAGCGCTCCGCCGAGTATCGCGATCTCGAGAAGTAACGCCGTGAACGCGACAATTTTGGGGTTCATTCATAAAATTGTCGTCCCGACAATATAATTGTTAGCACATATTTTTAATATAAGAATAAATCTATAATCTTATTACATATTCTTATGTAAAGATTTAATCTCTCTAAGATTTAATTATCGCTATCACTTCTAATTCATAGCTAGAATATTTCATCTCGGCCTAAGTCGTTTTTCAGCTGGCGTAGTAAACCGGGTGAAAATTTTGATTGTCGGGATTCCTCTGTAATAGTATCGCGCCGAATTCTAACGCAGACGCGTCCGTGCATAGCTCGATCCTCAACCTTTGAACGATACAATTATACAATACAGGTCCTTGACTCAATATTTCCTCTAGTGTTTCAAATGCACGACATTGCTCGTCTCCGAAATAAAACGTAACAACATCTTTTTTTAATAAGTCTGACAGCGTTCGGGCTATATACTAGAATACTTTGAATTTTGAAATGAACTTTCTAAAGTACCCTGCAAGATCAAGAAAGCTTTGTACATTTCTGGCGCACACAGGTTTTGGAAATCTTTCAACTGCAGCAGTCTTACGCTCTGATGATCTAAGCGATCCATGTTCAATTATGCATATATGCCCTCCCTGGCGAAAATAAAGAATTAAACGTAAGTCGAATGTAAGAGAAGAGTGACAAAAGTGTAAACAAAAGAAGCGTAGATTGGAACGATGGAACGTAGAAGAAGCATTAAAACGCTTCGTAAACGTTTTACGCTTCTTTTACGTTTCGCTCGTGCGCTTGAAGTAAACAATTCCTCCACCCTGTATATGCACGCACAATATACACGTATATTACAAAATTCACTCCAAACTGATATCATTGAGCATGATATTAGCATAATATTATAAAAATAATTTATTTAAAAACACATGTGAGCGCAATATAAATAATCGCATGGTGCAATTTGAAATACTATTTATTATTTTAATAATTCAAACAATCCGCGCGAAGGCCGGATGTGCAATCAGGCAAGGACGTTGACTCGCGATAACATCGAAACGCTGACAAACCGAAACAACATTTTGACACAAAGGATGAGCTGAGACCATATATAATATAATCACGCGCCTAGGCACGCGAGCGCGATAAAAAGGAAGCGAGGGTGAATAAGGTACATACGTCATCTAAGATCAAGTACGTCATCCGAGACACTTCTGTCACTTCTGTCAATCGAGTATACGTTGTCAGTAACGTTCGATCCACTTGTAACTTGTTAAAAGAAAAGAACGCGTAAAGTTCTGGTGACTAAAGTGTTTTATTGTACATATATATATA